TTAATTTTAAAAATACTTTGTTGCTAAAAAATACTAATGATCGGCTGGTGTGGTGGTTCACACCTGTAGTCCCAGCACTTCAGGAGGATGAGGCAAGTGGATCACTTGAGCCCACGAGTTTAAGACCAGCCTGGGCAACATGGCGAAACCCTGTCTCTACAAAAATTACAAAAATTAACCAGGCGTGGTGGTGTGCACTTGTAGTCCCAGATACTTGGAAGGCTGAGGTGGGAGGATCACCTGAGCCTGGGAGAGTCAAGACTACAGCGGGTCATGATCACGGCACTGTACTAGAGTCTGGGCAACAGAGTGAGACTCTCATCTCAAAAAATAATACTAACAATTGAGTCGTAATCTTTTTGTTGGTGGAAGTTCTTGCCTTGAGGTTGATGGCTGCTGGCTGATCAGGGTGGTACTGGTGCTGTAGTTTGGGGTGGCTGTGACAATTATTAAAATAAGAACAGCATTTCACAAAAGATTCTCTGTAGCATGTGATGCTGTTTGATAGCATTTTATCTACAATAGAAGTTCTTTCAAAATTGCAGCCAATCCTCTAAACCTGCCATTGCTTTATCAACTACGTTTATGGAATATTCTAAATCCTTTGTTGTCATTTCAACAATGTGTACAGCATCTTCCCCAGAAGTAGATTTTCTCTCAAGAGACCACCTTCTTTGCTCAGTTGCAGGCAGCCAACTCCATCCATTCGAGTTTTGTTTGGGATTGCAGGAATACAGTTACATCTTTAGGCTCTTCTAATTCTAGTTCTCTTGCTGTTTCTACCACATCTGCAGTTACTTCCTCCACTGATGTCTTGACCACCTCAGAGTCATCCAGGAGGGTTGGAATCAACTTCTTCCCAACTCTTGTTGCTGTTGTGGTTTTGACCTCTTCCCATGAATCATGAGTGTTCGGAATGGCATCTAGAATGGCGACTTCTTTCCAGATAGTCTTCCATTTACTTTGCCCAGATCCATCTGAGGAGTTGCTATCTCTGGCAGCTGTATGCTTAGGAAATGTGTTTCTTAAAATAGTAAGACTTGAAAGTCAAAGTAACTCCTTGATCATGGGCCACAGAATGGATATTGTGCTAGCAGGCATGAAAAAAACATTCATCTCTCTGTATATATTTCTGTCAGAGCTCCTAGGTGACCAAGTGCATCGTCAGTGAGCAGTAGTAATATTTTGAAAAGAATCTTGTCTTTTTTCTTAGCAGTAGGTCTCAAGAATGGGCTTAAAACATACAGCAAACCATGCCATTAACAGATGTGCTGTCAGCCAGGCTTTATTGTTCCATTCACAGAGCAGACGCAGAGTAGACTGAGTACAATTCTTAAGAGCCGTAGGATTTTTTATACTTACCTGGCAGGGGAGATACCATGATCCCGAAGGTGGTTTTCCCAGGGCGAGGCCTATCCATAGCATGCTGGATGTGCTGACCCCTGCGATTTCCCCAAATGTGGGAGACTTGACTGCATAATTTGTGGTAGTGGGGGACTGCGTTCCCGTTTTCCCCTGGCAAAAAAAAAAAAAAAAAAAGCCATAGGATTTTTAGAATGGTGAATGAGTGTTGGCTTCAACTGAAAGTCACCAGCTCTGTTTGCCTCTAACAAAAGAGCCAGCCTGTCCTTCGAAGCGTTGAAGCCAGGCATTGACTTCTAGCTATGACAGTCGTAGATGGCATCTTCTCCTAATAGAAGGCTGTTTCATCTATATTGAAAATCTGTTGTTGAGGGTAGCCACTGTCACCAATGACTTAGGTAGATCGTCTGGATAACTTGCTGCAGCTTCCACATCAGCGCTTGCTGCTTCATCGTGCGCTTCTATGTTACAGAGACAGTTCCTTTCCTTCAGTCTCATAAACCAGCCTCTGCTAGCTTCAGACTTTTCTTCTGCAGCTTCCTAACCTCTCTCATCTTTCATAGAGGTGAAGAGAGTCAGGGCTTTGCTCTGGACTAGATTTGGTTTAAGGGAATGTTGTGGCTGGTTTTATCTTATATCTAGACCACTCAAACTTCCCATATCAGAAATAAGGCTATTTTGGCCTTTTTTAACATTTGTGTGTTTACTGGAGTAGCACTTTTAATTTCCTTTGGGAACTCTTTGTTTGCCTTCACACTGTGACTGATTGGTGCAAGAGACTTAGCTTTCGGCCTCTCAGGGCATACCTTCCTCACTAGGCTTAATCACTGCTGGCTTTTGATTTAAAGTGAGAGATTCATGATGCTTCCTTTCACTTGAACTCTTAGAGGCCATTGTCGGGTTATTAATTGGCCTAATTTCAATATTGTCATGTCTCAGGGAATAGGGAGGCCCAAGGAGAGGGAGAGAGTCAGGGGAATGACCCCAGTCAGTGGAGGAGTTAGAACACCCATAACAGGTATTGATTAAGGACACCTATAACACATATTGATTAAGAACACCCACAACATGTATTCGTTGAGTAAGAACACTCACAACAGGTATTGTGAGTGTTCACATAGGCTAGGCACAGTGGCTCACGCCTATAATCCCAGCACTTTGGGAGGACAAGGCAGGCGGATCACCTGAGGTCAGGAGTTCAAGATCAGCCTGACCAACATGGAGAAACCCCGTCTCTACTAAAAATACAAAATTAGCTGGACATGGTGGTACATACCTGTAATTGCAGCTACTCAGGAGGCTCAGGCAGGAGAATCGCTTGAACCCAGGAGGTTCAGTGAGCTGAGATCATACCACTGCACTCCAGCCTGGGCAACAAGAGCAAAACTCTGTCGAAAAAAAAAAAGAACACCCATAACGTGTATTGATTAAGTCCACCATCTTATACAAGTGTAGCTCGTGGTGCCCCAAAACAATTACAATGGTAACACCAAAGATCACTGATCACAGATCACTGTAACAGATAAAATAATAATGAAAACATTTGAAATACTGTGAGAATTACCAGAATGTGACCCACATGAAGTGAACACATGCTGTTGGAAAATGGCACCGATAGACTTGCTCAATCAGGGTTGCCACAGACCTTCACTTCAGAAAAAATGCAGTGCAGTTGTAAGACAGTGACGCACGATAAAGTGTGAGGTGCCGTTAGGAAGCCATTGCTGTTCATGAGGAGGGCAGCTGCAGCCGAAAGGTAGTGCGGAGGCCCAACTGCACTGAATTCAGGAGTGACCAGAGCAGAGGGAGCCTAGCAAAAGGACATCACATTTCCCAGGAGCTGGTAGGAAGGTGAAGGAGAATCGGGGGCAGGGTGAGGGGAGGGTAGAATCCAGATCGTAGGGCTCCCGGGAACACATATGTTTGCTGAGAGAGAGGAACAAGTGGAGAAGGAGAAATTGAAAGTATAGCTGACACTTTGGGAGGTCAAGGCGGGTGAATAACTTAAGGTCAGGAGTTCGAGACCAGCTTGGCTAACACGCTGAAATCCTGTCTCTACTAAAAATACAAAAATTAGCCAGGCATGGTGGCACATGCCGGTAGTCCTAGCTACTTGGGAGGCTGAGGCAGGAGAATCACTTGAACCCAGGAGGTTGCAGTGAGCCAACATTGCGATACTGCACTCTAGCCTTGGTGACAGAGCGAAATTCCATCTTAAAAAGGAAACAAAGAAAAAGTATAGCTGACAGCTGGTGGAATGGGGTTCTTTAGGAGAATGGGTGCTTAGCATTGTTGAAGAAGAGAAAGTCTGGCTCTGCTAGGAGTTGCCTTGAGGGCAGAAACCACGTCTTCTTCACTCCCCAGCACCAAGCAATAGGCCCTCAGAAAATGTTTATACAAATGTGTTAAGATTTTACTACTTAGAAGTAGTCTTGACTGATACTGTAGAATACCAAAAAAACCTCACTATTTTTATTCCAGAATTACTTTCCTGTACTGTACTGTATGTAAGCAATGTATTTGTGACCAGCACTTTGGGAGGCCGAGGTGGGAAGATCATCTGAGGTCAGGAGTTTGAGGCCAGCCTGGCCAACATGGAGAAATCCCATCTCTACCAAAAAATACAAAAAATTAGCTGGACATGGTGGTGCACGCCTGTAGTGGAGGCTGAGGCATGAAAATCACTTGAGCCAGGGAGGCGGAGGTTGCAGTGAGCCAAGACTGCGCCACTGCACTCCAGCCTGGGTGATAAGACTCCATCAAAAAAAAAAAAAAAAAAAAAAGCCCCACAAAAGTTCTGTGATTATAGGTTCGAGCCACTGTAGCTGGCCCTCTTTTTGATTTTCTGTGTTAAATTTTGCCTACTGCAAATATTTCTAATATTAACAAAGACTGGATTTATAAACAACTTTTGATTCTGTGTCACTTAATTCTTTCAGAGTATATTCAAAAAGAACAAATTGGTTAGGAGAGGTAGAGTCAGCTCATCACAGACCATATTTCAGGGTGCAGATGGTGAGGGAATTAGCGTGGGTTGTATCCTGCTGTGCCAGTTACAATGTTGTAGATGGAAAACCCCAAACAAATATGTGGAGACTCTTCTGGTTCACATTTTTCTTTCTACTGCTTGTAAACCGGAGCACATATTGATGAGATCTCATTTTATATTATCCTTTTCCCCACTAAGTTCACTAGAAAACATTTTGCCTTTTTTTCTTAATAAATCATTGCCAGTGAAATATGTTACATAAAATATGCTAAGCAAATCAAATGAGCATATATAGAATTTACTTATGAGGACTGTAATGCGTTGTTTTAAATACTGATTTATCTTTCTAAATAAAATTGCTTCATTTGATGAATTGTTGCCTGGAGACATTGATTGATTGGAACATTATTTGGCTTTCAGAGTTTTATCTCTGCATTTTCTTTTCTTTTTTTTTTTTTTTTT